GCTAGGCCTATATCTTCCAAATGCCACACTGTAGCAGCAATTACTTGGCAAGAAGTCAGGAACAGATCTTCACCCTAATAAATTGAAGTAATTGTCTCCTGCAAACTCCCCTTCCCTTTAGCTCCTCTTTATTCCCTATGGGAGGGGCCATTCACTGTCCACCTGTGCCTTTACTCCCGAGTCAGCCGTTGTTCCATAGCTGTTCCCTTCTCCTGGCAGCTCTGCGGATGTGCACATTGGGAACAGGCTCCAGCTGTTCTTCTGCCCCACTGATATCCGACTCCAAATGGCAGCTGATAACTGTCGGAGAGCCCTGGCCCCATCTTTGCCTCGTCAGAACCTTTCTCAGACTCCAGAACTGGCCATGTTCCTCCCCAACCTCCTCACTGTCTGAATCTGCCACCAGCTCTGCTGGCCGCTCCCCAGGCTCCAGAGGCTTTATAGGAGCCTGGGGAGGGCGAAAACAGCCTTTGCTCTGGAGAACAAAAAACAACCCTACGAGCAAGCCTTCAGGGAAGCCTCCTGAAAGTCCCTGAAGGCTCCGGAGGACTAAGAATGGCCCTACAGACAAACCAGAAGTGACTTCCAGTTTGCTCGTAGAGTCGTTTTTTGCCCTCCAGAGCCTTCAGGGAAGCCTCCGGAAGGACCCTGAAGGCTCCAGAGGGCTAAAACCGGCCCTACGAACAAACTGGAAGTCTATTCCCGAACTTCCGATTTGCCCATAGGGCCAGTTTTTTTGCGCTCCAGAGGCTTCAGGAAAGTTCCTGAAGCCTCAGGAGGGCCTCCGGGGGGGGGGGGAGGCTTTTTTCACCCTCCCAGGCTCCTATAAAGCCTCCGGAGCCTGGGGAGGGTGAAAAAACCATGCCAAAAATGGGGGGGGAGCGTTGGTGGTGCGCATTGCATTATGGGTGTGGCATGCCCACGCACGACCCCCACTGTGCTCCCCCCACTTGTGGCACACGAGCCAAAAAAGGTTCGCCATTACTGCACTACCCCATACAATACGAGAAAGAGCAAGTGGTACTTACTAAAGATAAGCCATTGGGATAAAACATAACAGACTTGTTTCTCTACTTGTCTTCTGTAGGTGGTGGACTGGAGATGGGATCCTGACAAGAATGAGGGATCACATAATACACTTCGCTAAGCTTTGGTTCTAAGTAATTCAAGGAATACCTGGATAACTTTCCAGTTCTCGAAGTTTGGACTCATTGATATCTGTAGCAATAACTTGAGCTCCTTCTTTTGCAAAAGCCTTTAAAAACAAAAATACGCATACGTGTTCATTTTTACAAACTATAGCCAAACCGATAAAAGCAGCACATTATTTTTCTTGTGTTTTTAATAGTTGTGTTTATTTTAAATTGCTATTATCATGTTCTTCTGTGCATTACTCTGGTTCCACTGGAAAAATGGCTAACAGCCAACCACAATAACAATAAGATAACCATAGTATCACCATCGAAGATTACAGAAATTGTATAGATTTTATGCCAATAAAATTGATTAGGAACTAATTTTTTCCCAGAGCTTTTCTGGCAACTCTGAAACTGCTATTTTTGATATATGTTCTGAAATACCAGAGAATCTTCAGAGACAATGAAAAGTTTGGAAACTGCTGAAAAAAATGATAGGAAGAAAAAAAAACCAAGTCTTTTGCAAGCCATCCTGTAAACTAACAATCTACTTGGGAAAATGAGTTTTCATATCGAACGAAAAGACTGTTTATACTTTAACTTTTATATTCAGAAGACCAACCAAAATATATTGGCTGGAAAAAAAATCACGATATACTAAAATCAGATTTGAGATGAGATCTTTAACTCATGAACTGGAAAGTATTAGTCTATTTTGTATATGTTCCAGGCCTGAGACCCCATATGTGAAAAGGATTCCATCTACTGGTTGTGCCAAGAATTCTTGTGTGTAACATCTTTCTTGGTTACTGTGTATTTTAATCTTTGTATTTATGATGGGAATTATTTTTAATTTAAGATTTCTTGCCATCCCGAATTACTTGTTGAGGTGGGAGTCACAGAGATTGAACATTTGCAGGATACTGATGGTTTGCAAAAACTGGAAAAATGCACAAGAACACAAAACATTTCTCCTAATCACTATGTATATATGAAGGGATAAAAAAGGGAAAACTTGGAAGTAGGAATGGAATGGAGTTTTCCAGAAGAAACTGTAGCTGGCAAGCTAGCTCATGGATTTTTATTGCAAATTCCAGCTAAATATATCTTAAATATTATTCCTTAGTATAAATAGTATTTATTTTAAAGATTTATGCAAGTCTTTGCCTTAATGGAAAAGGAATATGTATAAATGGAACAAACCAAGATCATAATATTTTCCGCTGTGTAAGTTGCCCTGTTTTTAAAATTAGGACTAACTTTTATCTTGCATGATTTTATATTATTATGGTTTGCTACACAGTCAATCAGATGTTCAGACTGGATTTGAATTTTTATCCACCTATAAAGTCCTTCCCAAGAATCTGAGATAGGCAGATGTTGGTGTTTTGTGATGTTGGAAGTATCATTGCAGGATATAAGTTGTTCTGAGTAAAGCTGCATTTTGCAATTATTATTATTTTGTTCAATTTCTTTAGCTGCCCACCTCAGTAAATGATTCTGTATATACTCTAAAATTGGCCCTTAAAGTTTACTTTTTATAGTTATGAACATTATGCCTACGGTAGCTTAAAATACCCACCTCTTAAATAAAAGAACAGAAATGCATACCACAATACATTTACTTTCAAAAAGAATGAACGTATAAATGTTACATCACTAAATGAAGATTACTTATGGTGCCTATCTATAGACCTGGGCACTGGTTTTTTTGTTTTTTTGCAATAATATGAAAGTGATTTGCCACTGCTTTCTTCTTCTTCTTCAGAACTTGGATTCCAGCCAAGGATTTCCTTGGCCAAGAAAATCTGCCAAGGATTTCCTGGGAGTCTCCCATCTAAGATGTAACCATGACTGATACTGTTTAGCTTCTTCAAGATCAGTCAGTCATGAAATGTTGGCACCTGATTGTGATGAAACATAGGCAGCATGACTATTATTCTGATAATATTAAATCCTTTCTCTTCATGTTTTTATTTTCACCACTTCTTTCAGCACATATCCGTTAGCACTTAAAAGGAAGGTACTTTTGTACCTGAAACTTATAAAATCAATTGCACAATCCCGTGATGATATTCAACAAATAATTCTGCACTTACTTTAGCCACCGCTTGGCCAATTCCTTGGGCTGCGGCAGAGAGCAGTATTACCTTCCCTTCGAGCCGCCCCATTTTAGAAGCAGCTCCGATCAATTGTATTTAGGGCCTTATGGATTAGTGTTCATTACAGCTGCAAGGTAACATATGTTCATTATATTGCCATTTATATAGTAGCCCAAGAGATCTCCACGCTTTTGTACTTCTGGTTATAAATTTTAGATTTCAGAACTTAATTTACAAGCAGATTTATTAGAAGGCTATTATGGTAAGACAACATCCTTATTAGCAATCCAGATCCTCATTTATCTGCACATTATTTGCATGTTTTGAGAATGGTTTACTTAAGTATCTAATTGCATAGCCTCTTCTTTTTCATATAAAGCAGATCACACCACTCCTTAATTTGTAGTTATCTCCAAAAACCTCTTCTATGGTCACTGATTTTGAATTTTATATTTGGCAAGGAGGGGGATTTCTAAGAAATAATAACATGCTGGCTGGGGAATTCTAGGAGTTGAAATCCTCACATTTTAAAGTTGCTAAGTTTGAAAACATGCTCTGAAGGGTTTGTACCAGTGGTGGTATTCAGCCAGTTCTCTCCAGTTCTGGTGAACTGATAGTGGCGGCTGTGGGAGGCTCCGCCCACCCGTCCCAACATAATGTGCGGTGCACATGTGCAGAAAGTGGCTCACATTTACGAACTGGTAGGGAAGGTAAATGAATCCCACCACTGGTTTGTACTTGACTTGAGGCCTTGAAAAGGGAACAAAAAGAAATACAATCCAATATTTTCCATGGCGTTCCCTCAGAAACAAAACTGAACTCAAATAATATATATCAACCTTTTCTTCAAAACAGACTTCCTTTCAATAACTTCTGTGTCCACGGACCATGGATCACCAACACTTAAGATTTAAATCATATTTCTTCAAATCTTTGTGGACCCTGTGACAACACGTCCCCCAGTTTGTGGACCACATACATAGGTGACCTGTGGCATTATGGTATGTTAATCTTCCTGACCGAAGCAACTTTTCAAATATTTGTGGCAGTTATTGATAAAAAAGTCAAAGGAGTGTTATTCATCTATGAAAGGATGAGGATTTATTAGTTCAAAGAATGAGGCACTGCAAGATAAACTGTGAATGGAATTATTTTTCATAATGAAGAGACATCTACTTCTCTTAAATTCTGTCCCTGGTTTTAAAAGAACAAACCCATTTCCTATCCTGGAGAGGGAAGGGTTGGACTTAACACCTTTGCTTCATATGACAAAAGTCATTCCTTTCACATTTTTGCGTTTGCTTCCGATACTTGTTATTTTGTGAATCCTGGCTGATTCACAATAACATTAATTAAAGGCATTAATGAATCAATGCTTATAGAATAATAAATATTAACTCTCTCAAATGTTCAAGTTCACATATCCCAGGACCAGTCAAGAAATACAAACTCATGTGACAATATTTTCTGAAACAATCTTCTCCAATCTGAGATTCTCCACATTTCCCATCTCATGAATCCCTAAAAGAATGAATGTAGGAATGGAAATCTGATGGGACCGGGCTGAAGGGAGCTGAACAAAACTAGTACTAAAGTTTCATGCTAATTCTGGTTAATCCTCCTCCTTTAATTTATTAAATCAGCATACACAGTAAATTGGATTGAATGGAGCAGTTTGGTTTAACAAATTGTTAACCAAGCTTAACCCACTGGGGCAATGCGTTGAGCAAACACAGCTCTAAATTGCTTGCATTCTGCTTGCCCCTTTGAAAGATCACACGGGGATTTAAAATATCTACTAGACTTTGATGACATTGACACAATTCATTATGGAACTTAAACCTTTTGGGACCTTTCTCACAAGACTGGAAACAAGGTTTCCATTAGCTCTTCGGAGAAAACGCGTAGCTTAGGCATAGGGAAGTATGGGTGGAGCGATTTGCTTTGACTTCCAATATTTTACATGACAAAGCCTAATGCAATTAAAATTCTTTCAAATTTCTTTTTGCCTACAAAAGAACAATCTTGCAGCCTAATTTACTCTCGCATGCTTCTCATACAGTTTCTTGGCACTAAAAAATAAAATAAACATGACTGTAAGGAAGAAACTCACCGCAGGAACCCAGCAAGAACTTTTACCAGTAGGCGGGTTTCTGTTTTCTGAAGCATGGTGGGATTTGTAGTGCAGATTATTTTAGTGTTCCCGCACGGCAAGTGTTTATACTGCCATCTAGCGAGGAGCTGGTTTCAAACTTATTCGGCTGCGTCGAAGTTAATTGTTTGAGGAAAGCTGTTGCTTAATGAAAGTAATACAATAGCAGAGTTGGGAGTAAATCACTCCCAAACAAGAAACTACCTAGAAAACAACAATGACAGGGCAAACACTATATATACACAGGGTTGGCCTCCTCCGGGTGCCATCTACTAGCCAATGCCACCTGGCTATTACCCGGGGGAGGGCCTTCTCTG